AACCTATAAATCTATCAAGATTAGCATCCATCTATACTGACAGACTGATCAAGATCAGTGATAACAGAAGCTGCCAAGAGTTTCGCTGACCTGAGTGAAGGTATCCCCCCCCCCCCCCTCACCCCTCCCATCCTCTTCAAATCAGACAAAATTGGTGTCAGACGTTTGCACTGCATTTGCGCTTTGGCTTTGAAGATATTAATGAAAGGTTAAAGGTCAAAAGGTCAACCGGGCCCCCCCACTTTTATGATGAGCGGGGGCTGGTTGACCTTTCATGACCTCTAGAAATGTTGTTTAAATGGATAGCGTTTTTGGGGGGTGGCAACTTCACTCAGGTGATTCTTGGTTATTTTTGAAGAACCGCAAATCAGGTGGGAAAATGTTGAAATAACAACTATTAGCTGCAAACCCCACACGCTACAGTTGGAGCGTTCCTGTAAGACTGTGTTTCCGAGACAAAGATTTAAGACTCCAGGTTCACTTTCATCTTCCTTTATCATCTGAGACTTTGCCAGAGATGATAATGTTCACTCTCCATTCAGTCTGACGGAGACAGCCATTGGTTACAGAGCAACGGGCAAAAATGTCTGTCTGTAGCTGTGCGCCATCAGTTAAGGCCCAAATTATTCATACGCCTGAACATTTTAGATTATATTAATTTCATTCGTCTTCTAGGTTTTCAAACATGTTTCTTATTAACAGCCTGAGCCGAAGTCAGTCAGTGGAGGCAGCAAAGGTTAGGCTACACTGATGGCAACAGGAGCCTTTCATCCTCAGAGACCTGGAGCTCATCAATAAAGACAAAATATCAAAATGCCAGAGGACATCTGGAAACTCCTGCGCATCTATTATAAAAATGGTTTGATTGCTGTTTTATGCATGAAAAAAAAATTCAACTAACCCCTGAAGAGAGTGTAAATCCTTTTTACATGACTTTGCTTTGATAAATGCAGATAAAAACAACTATTTCTTTCTACACTGATGTGGCTTTCGCACTTTAAATCATTTAGAAAACTCCGCTAGATTTTATCTCCACTTGTTCTGCTTTGTGTTGGTCTTTCACATAAAATCACAATTAAATATCTTGAACTCTGTGGGACATAACAAGACAAAATATGGAAGAAAAAAAAAGCACAATATGCTATATATGCAGAGACCATTAAAGGGATTACATCATTTGGTTGATGGGATCACAAAGTAAAATGTTCAAACTTCTAAAAGTGCTAGAAACAGAAGTGGATCCACAAGGTCAGAACACCGAAAGCAGTCGGGGCGACAAAAACCAAACACGGGTAGAAGAAGGTTTGAACAAGTTTTAGTCCCACTACCACAACTCAGTTCATTTTTCAAATGACTTGCCAATAATTCCACATAACTAAACAATAACATGCCGCTTTTTTTTTTTTTTCTTCAACCTACCAAATCCAGGCTGACGCGTAGAGAGAATAACCATGTGTAGTTTGGAACCAAGAAACCAGAGGAGACCCACGCTGTCACTAAGATGTGGTGCTTATTTTTCCCTGAGCAACAGTATTGGGTAAAGTCAAGATTTCAAAGAGAAGTACTTTGTAATTAATACAGCTCAGTTGGGTTTTTTTTTATGACACGGATTCATAACGGGTCATTTTAAGGTCAGTTCAGTCACACTTTCAACTGTAACCTTTTTTTCTGCACGGTTACCCTTAGTGACACTTGACTGGACAAGATGCCCTTTTAACAGAAGCAAGCTTACATTATTGGATGCAGACCAAGATAAGCTGATTAATTAATCTTTAAGCCACGACAACCTGAAGAGTTTAGATGGCAGGAAAAGATAAAAAGCAACAGAAGACAAATGCAGGTTTCTACCAGGAGATGCTCTTATCTTTCCTGCCCTCTTTGAGGGTTTTTTTTTTTTAACCTTTTCTCCGTGTGAACAATGCGTACGTAGCAAGACAAGAGCTACCATGATCTCACCTGTCATGTTGCAGTATACCTGTGTGGGCCCCAGGGGACCACTCCCATCTGGATCGATGAAGTAGAAGCCTGAGGAGCTGCCGCTCAGCTTGTAGGCCTCGCAGGACGACTCGTGGATAGCTGGAAGAAGCAGAACAGCGGAACAGAAATAGTTATTTCTCCGGGAATCAGCCCACTCCCTCCTCAGTCTGAACCGTATGAGTCACAAACACACAAGCTCTGTCTGTATTTATACAATGCGCTCGACTGATTGGGCTCTGAGCTCTCAAGAAGCTTTCTGGTCAATCTATAGGATCCAGTGCCGACTTCTGCTGAAACTGCTTTCAAACTGACCTGACAGGCAGGACAGGAATGTATTTCTTTGTGAAGGGGTCGGGTCACATTTATGGGCTGCAGCCGGCCAAGTCGTGGAACACAGACCGTCGTCCACTGCTAGTTATCAAAACACGCGATGACTAATTAGGAGCCGGTTATCATCCACAGCAATCAAGAGAGCACCAGCGCGTTATCTTTTAATGAAATCAGGATTGATTGGTGACTTTCAAAAGTATTCAGACCCCTTGAACTTTTTTGAAGACAGAATTTCTTTGTACAGCTAATGATATTCTTGGTTTTCTTTTAGCTTCGGTTGGTGTTCAGTTAGATTGGTGTCTGATAAAAGAGGAGTAATTGTTCCCTTTCATCGTGATTTTATGCTTATTGTATTGCGATGCATTCTGAATCTTGTGCTGTTCGCTCAATCACAATGAAAGACTTCTGAACCTTTGAATTTTTGGAACTCTGAAAATATCTAGGTACATTAAAGTGGAGACAAACAAGAACAAATGTTTAAGACCAACAAATAACTCTAAACATGAGTAGAGAATTACACAACGACAATAGTTCAGAAGTAAGAACGAAAAGAGAAGACCAGTGGTCATTCAATGGTCTAAAATGTGACGCTCCTCATGGAGCTTTAATCTGGACGCGGGACGCTCTCTACATAAAAAGCCTTGGTGTAAAACACAAGTATTGTGGCTCTGATCCTTTTAGTTTCGTCATAGAGGCTCCTCACAGTGAGACATGGGGCCAGTAAGCATGGCAGACCAGCTGAAAAATTAGGCCTCCAGTTGAGTTATTCATGTTTTTAGTTGACCCTGACAATGCTGCAGTGAACGGCTCGCAGAAAAAAAAAATGGCTCTGTGTTTCACGGTAGAGTTGGGTACAACCTCTATCATGGTCATGGGAAAGAAAAATGGCAAGATCAGAATCATATTTCATGCGGCTTCTCCATACTGGGACGTCTGCTCTGGGTTAAAGACGCTTCTGCTTTCCCAGCTAATCATATTTTCTGATTTTAGCACCGAGGAACAAAGTCAGAAGCCAATCTTTTCTAATTGTGCTGATGTTGAGCGCAATTTATTTGTGGTTTCTTTATTTAACCCCGAGGCTTATTTTACAGACTTAAAACACACATGCATTTATTACTTTTATGTTTTCATCTTAGCCAATTATGACACTTCTAGCACTGAAATATTTATATATTTATAGATAGTTAGGGCAAATGAAATGAAATAGATTACATGATAGAATTGGGAAACAAAATCTGTTAAAACAATATACTAATTTGTTTTCCCATGTTTTCAGATCCCACCTTCACATTCCATGTTTTTTTCCAGACTCTGGTTATCCTGTTAATCATTATCTATAAATGTAAACACATGCCAATGTCACTAAACCAATGCAAGAGGTAAGAACAATCTAAATTCTTCTTTTTGCCTTCCCAGCCCACAATAGTTTGAAGTGTATTGAAGAGCTATTAATTACTACTAATAAATAAATGAACCTCCTGGATGCCCACTTTGGTGTTGTGGAGATTAGCACCTAGAATTTTCCAGTGAAAATTAGTGATTGGGTGAGACGCGTGCGAGAGCATGAAGCAGTTCTATGGTGGCTCAGCAGAGTCATGTTTTAGAAAAGTAATCAATGAACGAGAGGGAAATCAAAAAAACGTTACTGACTGCTAAGGCTGGTTAGCTGCCTGGCTGCTTCAGATTTCAGTTGGATTAAGAGACAAACTCAACAGACTGATAATAAATCATTCCCCTAAAAACCAAGTGGTGGTCTGTTTAAAGCACACTGGTTTCCAGGCTGCAGCTTTGACTTGCAGACGGAAAAGCTGAATTTGATGAAAGGAACTATTTTTACTGCAGCAGATGCTCTTATCTGCCGTGTTTCCTCCATAACTGTCTGTCTGCATACAAACAAGATATCAACATTCTGGGGCAGGGGATGGAGGTGCAGGGAGGGGAGCGGGTGGGGGGGGGGGATCCACACTCTCTCCAACAACACTCCACTGCATATATCAAGGCAACGTCAAAAATGACACCTGGAAGGAAAAACTCCTACAATCACAGCCAGTCTGAAGTGGGGAGCTATTTAAGGATGGAGCAGGGGGGGAAAAAAAAAAAGTGCAGATAGCGATTGTGAGGTCATGTCAAGCTGAAACAGGACAACTTTCTGCTTCGCCTCTCAGCTCCACAAAGCGAGGAAAGCTCCAGGTGAGACAGGCAGGTGGATGTGTGCACCGAATTGAATGTGAGGGAGGCAGACCCGGAGCGAGAGGGGAGGGGGCGTGGGGTGAAATGGCGGCTTTGAGACGGTGCTGAAAACATGAAAGTGCTCACAGTTGTGACACGTGGCTCCGGAGTATCCGGTTCCCGAACAGTCGCAGGAGAACGAGCTCCACGTCTGGGAGCAGCGGGCGCCGTGTTCGCAGAGGTTGGGCAGGCACCTGGGGAAACAGGAGCGGCGCCACACCTTTAATGCACCAAAACTCACCCCACAACTCACTTCACAGCTCTTCAGAGCACAAGAAAAAAAAAAAATACAATCCTAATGAGACCTTGTTTTTGCCTAATTAGTCCTGAAAATGAAGAGAAATCTTAATTAGCATGCCATAAAAAAAAACAAAAACAAAGAAGCTTCAATTATCACATTTAAAACTGCAGCCGCAGAAAGCTTGGCTTTATTGCTTGTAATTAATTGATTATCAGACTAGTTGGTAATTATATACATCTTTTGAGCTGACTAATTGAAAAATCTCCAGGTTCCTCCTAATTCGCTTTGATCTTTGTTTGCCCAGCCTTCATGCTTTGGGGAAGGGATCAGCTCTAACTGATTACGATTCACCTGAAAGCGACTTTGTCAGGTGTTTGTTTCAGACAACACAATGAAGCACGGGCCACTGAAGCACTCTGCCTGACAGGTAAGAAAAATCCATGTCATTCGCCTCTTTATTGTCTCCTTTGTTGCTACGAATATGAGCCTTGGAACATATCCCAAAGTTAATTTGCTGATGACTCATGTTTTGCGAGCTGAAATTAAAAATCCCAAACGAGTGAAGAGTGTCGGGTCCCGCAGCCTCCTTGAAATTTGAAAAAAAAAAAAAAAAAAAGCTGATTTCTCTGAGCACAAAAGCATCACTGTCACCTTCAAAGAATGCCTGTTAATGGGATTTTTGCCGCAGAAAAATTTACACCGCACTCTTCTGATTAATAGTCCCTTCCTCGAGCCTCCTTGAGTTTCACATAATTGCCAGCCTTTCAAGCATGCATCTATAATTTCATACACTTTATCTCTCACCTATTAACTGCAGCACAGTGGGCCAGCCGCAACATGGATAGGGTTGCAACAATCGCTTTAATTACCATCAAGCTATTTTCTGTTGCTATGTCCGCGGCTGCCCTTACAGGACGTAAAATTACAGCAGGCAGCACACTTAAGCACACGCTAGCTGTAAACCGAGGTGTAATTAGACTCAGAGAAGCGCAGATTAGCTCTGATAAAAGTTAATTTTCCTCATGCACTCAGGGGTCATTAAGTAGGCCACAGAAGAGAAATGACAGCTAATATCAGGGATGTAATCACTCTCACATGTCATGTCCTCACAGCGGCACAGAAGGTTGCAAAGACACGAGGCAACAGAAAAACAAAAAAAAAAAAAACAGCCTCTGCTTTGCTGTCGTTAGCCTGCTGCTCTGCTCACACACACACACACACTGGAACGTATTTGTGCTCTCATTTGTTTGAAAAACTATTAACATTTTTTAAGATTAATCCCTCGTCAGCCTGAAGGTCTTGTGTGCCGGGACCACCAGGCTGCATCTGTTATTAAAATGCAACCCGCTGCCATTTTGAGAATGTTGCTGAGCACGGCACAATCACTGAAGAGGCCTCCTGGTGCAGCTGTGATTAAAATGGATGCAACATTTCTGGTGCAGTGGATTTGGTCAAAAGTTTAAAACCATTTTTTTTTTTTTGCCTTGTTTTTTCTTGAACGTTTTTCAAAATATTTTTGAAAAACGAGATTCAAAATCCAGTGCCGTTTATGTCTCTAAACAAAAGTCAGGCGACCCAAAAAAGCATCAGGACGTCAGAGTGAGCAACACACAAGCATATTCCTGCTTTGTGTGCAGAAGGTAGTCCTTTTTTTTTCCACCTCATATTATTTGATCAATAGTGTTAAAATAGCAGATTATACTTAAAATCCAAAATGGCTGCTGACGCAGGAACGACTGCAGAATGAAACTCTTTAGACATTTCAATCAGATGTGTCACTGATATGCTACTCTACAATAACGTTATATGAACATGTTCCTGTAGTGTGCAAACACAGTCTGCTAATCCAACAGAGTATTAGGGATATATTTAGTAAATTACTGTCAAAAAACTCTTCAAGAAATTCCACACATTTGCAAGAAACAATGGGACATTTTCTAATGAATCTGACAAATTTGCAAAAGCAGGGACGACGACAGGCATGATTAAAAGCATATGTTCTTGATGAAAAAATGTGATGTTCTCATTGCGAAGTCAGGAAAAAACAAACAACAACAACAAAAAAAAACATATGTTTGAGACAAAAAATGCCAAACAATGTTGACCGACAGCGCTGAGACCAGCCTCCAGCCTCTGATTGGTTGTTTCTGACGCAGAGCGGAGTATAAGTGGTCCAGCGAGGAGGAGGAGCACCTCCGTCTTTTCACAGATTATCTGTCTCATAATATACTGTCACAACAGGGCGACAGTTTGAACAAATACGGGCAACCCTGAATGTTTGCCACAGGAGATTCAAGGATTTCACACACATGCATGAATGAATGAATCGAAGAAAAAAAAAATGAAAGTAAAGTCACAGTCCTGAATCAGTAAAAGGTCTGGATTAAAAAAAAAAGGACTTTTTACCTTTAGAACCTGAAGAAGGACAGACTGATGCGAGTGAGCACAGACTGCTGCTGCACACCATTGGAGAGAAGCAGCAGGGTGCTCATTCAGCCATGTGCAGACGGATAAATGAGAAACAAAGCCAGACTCAGACACCTGCTTAATGCCAAAAGATTTCGTTTTGCAGCAGTGATTGGGTTCCTCACTGGTCTCCTGACGACATCCTACACTTTCCTTAAATCACAACTTTCGCCACGTAACAGGCTCTTTAATCACGGGTACGCAACGTTTAACTGACTGAAATCTTTGCATGTTCAGGGGATGATGTAAAACGGAGGAGCAGATTTGGAAGCTAGATGTGACGTTGAACCATCCTCTGTAATTACAGAATCCAATTTCTGGTGTGTTTCATATCAAAGGTGACGAACTGCAACTTTTGAAGCGACTGGTTTCCAGTTTGGCTAAATTAATTTTCTGACTGCTTCAGAAGTCACATGATTGATTACCTGATTCACTTTACCTGTAAAGCGTGGACATGTCTGTGTAGAACTTTGATTGACATGTTTGTTCTGACGTGGAACAAACATGTCAATGTTTTGGAGCAACTAATGTGAATCTAATGATAATTTGTAGAGGCAGGTAAAGATTAGGGTGATGGCAAAGAAACATGCAGCAAGATGGTTATGTGTTACATTCAGTTCAGCTCCGTTTATTTATATTGTGCCAACAAATGTCACCTCAAGGTATTTTTACAAAAAAAAAAAAAAAATTCAATTCAGTCACACAATCAAACAGTACAGTAGGCTCGATTAATTAGTCAAAGTGGATTATAAGGTTTGTGTCTAAGGAAACTCCGCAGGTTGCATCGAGTCATTGCCTTGCAGCACTGATGCCTTCCACTAACAGGAAGAAACCTCCAGCAGAACCAGAACTAGAATCAGAACCAGAACCTGGCTCAGTGCTGCTACGACCGACTGGGGGATTGAGAAGACAGAGAGGGGTTTCGTAAGAAGGGTTTGATTGTTGTAATGAATATGAAGACATTCCCAAAGAGCATTGTGAATGCTATAAATAACTTTTGTCAAGCAAGTTTTTTTAAAATCATCTAAAAGAGTTTTATTTCCAAAATGAAGGCCCACCTTGCAGATGTTTTTTTTTTTTTTTTCCGTTTTAGAAGCAAACTTCTTAGTCACATAGAAATAATTTTAAACTAAAACCTTCCAGGACCATGAATAGTTCAGATTCATTCACTGTTTCCAAGCAGCAGCGCCGTCGGCCAGCTGGATGAGTTTTAGTTTGCTCAGCTGTCGATCATAAACAACGTCCAGTTCTCATTCACTTGGAAGAGGACGAAGAACAGTGTGGCAGCCGGTCAGAGCACTCTCAATTCAGAGGCATACACTGTGTTTGTCTGCTTATTTCTGATTGGATGTGCTACAGTGAGGACAGGCTGAACGAGCCTGGCCATAAAAACACAATATACTGGGTTACCATGAGGTGCCCGGCTCCTCCACATGCTGAGTAAAAGTAGCCTGAAATTATATCTAACTAGCTGAATAAATTATCATAAATGCAATTGGAGTTTTATAGTCAACAATTACTGCATTCCAAAAAGTCATTTGTGGTGATAATTTTGCTCATAGTCCTATTGTAATAACCATATACTTGTGATGTGGAGACCTGCCTAATGTGCTTATCCAAAATGCTGCAGCTAGAGTTGTGACGAGAATTAAAAAGAGAGATTTCATATTTCCTTTTTTTTTTTTTTTTAAGCTTCCCTTCACTGGCTCCTTGTTAAATCCAGAATATAATTTAACATTCTCCTCCTCCCATAAGGCCCTCAATAATCAGCTCCATGATAAATCAGAGATCTGATTGTTCCAGAACACTTTGCTGTCCTAGAGTTTCTAAAAGTGGAATGGGAGGCAGACCCTTTAGTTCTCAGGCTCCTCTCCAGTGGAAGCAGCGCCCAGTTTTAGCGTGTGAGGCAGACTGCCTGTCTACTTTTAAGACCAGGCTTAAAACTTCCTTTTCTTTCTGTCATGCATAGTTGTCCACTACAGTGGACAGCTGTCTGAAAGCCATTTTCTTGTGCTTCTTATGGATTTTTATGTTATGAAGTGGACACTAATGCATCATAAAATACACCATCAACTACTGGCCATCAGCTACAAATGCAAGAAATTATGTTTGTTAAATCCAATATGTCCGACAGACAAAAGAGCACGCCAGCCGACCCGGTCCCTCCTTCTCCTGTGGACGACTGTAGCAGGTAAAAAATAAAAAAAAATAAAAATTATATATATATATATATATATATATATATATATATATATATATATAGTGACATCACATAACCCCTAAAGAACAATAGTACTAATGTATTTTTCAAATGACAACTTTGTATTTGGAGAAAATTACAATTGATCACCTAAAAAAAAAATAAATAAAAGAATTTTTTTATTACAAATTTTTTCCTGCCTTTTTTATGCCTTAAGAAAATGAAAAAAAAAAAAAAAATTCTGACACAAAGGATCATAATTCATGCATGAAAGGGTTGAAAAAGCTGATAGACTGGCTTGAGTTAACCTGAGTTATTTCTGTAGTTATGCACCTCAGTCCCAATCTGCCCATTTTAAGACTCCAGCTGCTACTTTCTCCTTCTGCTCTCCAGTTATTCAGGTGCTGTGACGCCATCCAGGAGAACTTCCATGCATTGTGTGGTAACATGGAGTGAATTAGAACCAACTATGGACCCCAGCAGAACCAGAACTAGAATCAGAACCAGAACCAGAACCGGGCTCAGTGCAAGCACCAACTGCTACGGCCGATTTGATTTGCATTGATCTTGTCATATTCGATAAATTAAAATATGGGGTCTGATGACACTTATTTGTCAGATTTCCTTTAAAAGTAACCTTTGGAAAATAACAACTTTCAAGCAGGTAACAAATATACTTTTTTTTTTAATTAAGCCCACATTTCTGTATTAAAAGTATTTTGAATTGGTCCAATGTAATATTTTATTCTCAAAGTTAGCGTTTTCATTAACTGTAAGCAGAAAATCTCCACACTTAACAGAAGGACAGCAAAGGCTTAAAATAATCAGTAATTGATCTGCATGATGTGCTTCTCTTAATGAATTGAGGTTATATATATTTTGAGTAATATTTCTTCTAAAAATGTATTTTGAAAACTTTAAGTGCAGATGTTCAAAGTGTGACAGCAACGATCCTAATGAAGTGAGTTTCATGCAAGGTTCTTCTTCTTCTTCTTCTTCTTCCACGATAACATTTTAATAACAGATTATTCAGTTTGTTAGATAGCTACAGACAGAAACAGAGCAAGAAATCAAGTAGGAGTGGGAGGTTTTTTTTTTTTTTTTTGTGGTCTGTACAAGCCTAAGGCGTAAAGCTGAATAAAAAGAAGTTGTTGTTTTTTTGTTGGGACATTGATTTAGCAGTCAAATAACGTAAATCTCGGCAAATTTAGACCTAACTTGAATTAAAAAGTTGGTAAAATGTTAGACATGTATATCTGCTGAGCCGAGGAGCCGATTCTAAAGTTTAAGATAGAAATGTTAAAGGTTTTAAGTTCATTTCCAGACTTTCAAAAATAAGGATCTGAAAGTAGCAGTCTTGGAGTTTGAAGAACGTTATATCTGAACACCGTCAGAGTTTACCCATTATTCCAACCATTTATCTGGAATGCAGTAAATTCAAGTCAAGTAAATCTTTTCCCCTCAGTCCGTATTCACAAAAGGCGATTTGTGATTCCAAACTTACCATTTCAGCTTTATATAAAACACAAATATTTTGTAGCAGTAGGTCTTTGTTTTCATACAGTTCTGTATAACCCATTAAAACATATTCCATCTTTTTATTGTCAAGAAATCTACTTTGTTCAGAAGCTCATTGGTTCTCGGTTTAACGACGGTTACCCTGTGGATTTAAACAATTACTGGCTCAACTCTCCCTTGTCCGATCTCATCATGGCTCGGGATCCCTTGAGAGCGAACGACTTAAGGTTTCTGTCGACAAATAACATCGTATTAGGCATTTAATGAGGCTGTGGAATTAGCTTGCAGCACAACTAAAGTAAAGCCATAAGGAAAACCTTATTTCACAATTTTTATTGAATCTAATAAAGAACAACATTGTGCAGCTTGGCATGAACACAGTTGTTGCTGTATACATTCTGTTGTAATAAGCAGATAATTAATGATTTTTAGGTTGGCATAGCAGGTGATGTTTAGCATTTTCTCAAACTTATAGTACTAACTCTGAATAAAAGCAATTTTTTTTTTTTTAATATGGACGCCAATAATTCCACGCTTGTCAATCTGATCCCAACAACATCTTACATTTCATTCTGTTTCATTTATAAAGCTTTCAAAACTGTATTATAGTTTATGCACATTATTTTGTTAATCGATTCTGGGTTTCCTGCTTAGATCCTCAGCCTTCTTTACCCTTCACAAGGTCATTCCTAGTGAGTCAGGGCTGCTGCAGCCTGACGTCTGAGTGTCATGAGCTCATTCATCAGAAAGAAAGAAACAGACAAGGCGTTCATTTTTTTCATCATTCCAAGCTCACTACTGAGGGTCCGAAATGGGGGAACGGACATTTTGGTCCGCACTTGATTGACTAGAAGTAAAGTGAAACATGTGATCGCAAATGATGCCAAAATAAAGTGTGCTGACAACCTGCACTAAATGCAAACAGCGTGTGTACTGCCAAAAGGCAGTGGTGACGTCCGGCCGTTGATCACCTCACTCGTGACATGAAATAAGTGTTTCCGTTGCAGTTTTTGCAAAATACATTATTTTGCTAAACTGATCTGGAAAAACCAGCTCGTCTTAATGCAGAAGCGTTTCATGGAAAATGTGACTTGATGGAAAATTGCCACGTCTCCATCAAGCAAATTTATTTTCATAATTTCAATTTGCATAATCCTATAGTTAATGGAAATGCAGCTACGTTCGGTACATGAGCTATGAAGGTGATGAAAAAATATTGTGACTTTTGCTGAACTTGAGTCTTTGGCCTTTCTGGATGGAGTTTGCATGTTTCCCTTATGGATGTGTGAGTTTCCTCTGGTCTTCTTTCCAAAACATGACAGTCAGGTTAAGCTGTCTTGTTAAAAATTGCCCTGTGGGTGTTTGACTGTTTGTCCTGTGTGTCTCTGTGTTGTCCTGTGATGGACTGGTGACCTGCATAGGGTATATCCATCCTCTCTCCCAATGGCTGCTGGAGATAGTCACCAGCTCCAACACAATCCTTCACCAACAACCAGGGCAGACACTGATGGATGGACTTAAAGCTACTGAGTTTTCAAGCAGATCTATAGAATTGTTTTTGCAAGCATTCAATTGGAAGTTACTGAATTCCTTGGATCAAAGACTAAATATTAAAGAGAATAAATAAATATAACAGCAAGAAATCAGGATTTGAATAATTCAGGTAAAGAAAAGCTTCCAAACTAACTTGGCCCCAAGTGAAATTCATTCAGACCTGATTTCACTAGTGGGTTTTGGATTGTTGTCCCTCTCCATAAGCCACATGTCCTGATTCCAGAAATCAGTTTTTGATCAGAAGGTAAAAAAAATAAATAAATGAAAGTAAAAAAAAAAAAAAGATGTCTGGAAATTTTTGCTGCAAGATTGTTTTGCAGAGAGCATAATTCCTGGCTCCAATAATTACTGTAATTCACAGCAAAGCCATCCAGAGCCATCACACCACCACTACCACCATGTTTTATTTTTTATTATTTTCTTTAATTGGTTTGATCTGAAAACATCTGTAAGAAAGAATATTTTATAGAGCATTCTACAGTAACATAATTCAGGTCATTTAAAGGGTTAAATAAATACATTTGATGAATCTGTTATTTAAATAAGTTATAATGCGATACACCTATTACATGTATAATTTCACTTTAACATGAACTGTAATAACTGAGTTTATGTCTAAACAACCATTGTGGAATTTTCTCCCCCCCTCAGTTTCTTTCCAGTATTTACGTTTGCTACCTTTTTCCCCAGGGCTGCAGGTGCTGTTCATTTGAAGGACCAGTCATTCACTAACATTCCAGCTCAGAGGAAAACTGTGCAGATACCCCAGAGAGGAAATCCCCTCAGAGTCACAGCTGACGCTTCAGGTAGGAGCACCAAACCTGACTCTGTTTTCTCTCATCCCATGGTACATTAGCTGTGAAGAAACAAGACCAAAAACAACATCCGTCTTGCTAAGCCTGGGAAAATAAAACATCTCTCTCTATCATTCTGTCTTTTCCTACAGTGCATCTCTTCACGCACTGACATGACAGACTGGCATCTCCGGTGTGTTTGCATATCTTCCAACTGCGAACAATCTGGTCTAAAAAGTAGGTAGTCTGAAATCCGACAAAGGGGTAATTCTCCCCAGGGCATGCACAAGGGAAAGTGGCAGTTTGCATGTTTGCCTCGCTCCTATGAAACGTTCCCCTCTGCATGCAGACGTTTATGGAGCTCGTAGGTCTGCCAGGGCCCACAGCTGTGCAGGATAATGAGGGAGAGCATGCCACACAGGACAGTGGGGAGCAGCTTGTTAGCATAGTCCTCTGCCAGAGAAGGTGCAGCCGGGTTTCTGTTGCACTTTAATTGGAAGATCCAGTCAGCTTGTTTGTCTCTACAGGACAGAATGTCAGCCACTTTCAGGCTTTGCTGCAAACAACACACTGCCATCCACAAATTAACATTGGGGGCATGAATGACTCTGTGCTGCCAACTTGGATAATGTTTGACATTCAGCCATCAATTGAGAGGAAGTTTTTCGTCTGCTCCCTCTGAGAACTGTCCTCACAATTAATTAAAGTCTAGAAAAGAAACTCAGACTACTTTACCTGTCTTTCATATTGCATGTGTCAAACTGGAGCTCATTATAATTTCCTAGCAATCCTTGCTGCACATGGCTGAGATTCACCAGGTGATTGTTGATGGATATAAGCTGCATGCACCCCTGGAAGGCAGGAGCTTGGATGTGACACTCTGTGGGCGGACAGCCTTGACGAAAGTGACACAAGAAAGAAACAGCCTTTAGTTTCACTCCTCTTTAGTCACAGAAAACTGTAAGTGACAATGTTGGAATTTCGAGAGCAAGGCGACACACCGGGAGAACTCACTAACCTCCAAAGTACAAGCTGCCTCTTGATTCCACCGGCTCCCAGAGCTCGACGTCGGACGAAGGCTCGCCATCCACACTCAGAGTGATCTGCAGACTCCTGCTGGCAAGACTCACCGCGTGCCACAATCCGTCATTGACTCTGCGACCTAAACAGCAGAGAATAATCAGTTTCAAGAGATACTGATCAGATGCAAATGTTGTCAACACAGAGCAACAAACATCCCAGCTTATGTCCAGGACAAGGGTGGCAAAACGAATTAGCAGTTTTATCTAAATTCCCTGCAGACTTAAATTGCAATGAACATCTGAAGTTAAAAAAAAGAGGAAAACGTGTCGTGTCAATCGGTCTTCAGTCTGGAGGTTCCAATCTGAAATGCTACCCTTCATGTCTGCACCACGAACAAAGTGACCGGCAGCTTTGGTGGGAGTGGCCAGGCAGAGCGACCAATCAGATTTCAAGAGGAGCAGCAGTTCATCACCGAAAACTTTCTGTGAAACATTTTTTTGTGTCTATACGGACCGCGTGACTGAATCACGGCAAATATCCCAAAATGTAAGGAAACGAAAACTCTCGCAGATTTCGACTCAAAGTCATTCAATCAAAAAGCACATACTGTATGTTTAGACTGAGATGTTCAACCCTTAAAACACTCGCATTTCTAATTTTGTTAAGTTTTATTTAATTTATCAAGATGTTTAAATTCCAGCTCACAGAATCTCAAACCTTTTTTACTGTCAGTAAGTCTTATTCAAATAAAGATCTTTGTTTGCCACATTGTTGATTAATCATTAACAGGACTAATTTAAGCCCGTGAATCTGTAAAACTGTTGTGCCATGCGATCAAACATTTGGATGCGCCTTACTTTTGTGCTGGTCCACCTCAGAAACAAAGTTAGAGCCCAGTAGCATATTTGTCTGTAACGTCAGTGACATTTTCTAAACATCTTGCTGCAGCGGCGTAAAATCTTGATGCACCTGTCTGAGCGGTCTCGCCTCCCAACCTGCTCTTTCATGTTTGATGGCAGCTTGTATAGTTTTTCTTCTAAAGTAGCTTGGGCTTTTGTTTTTTTTCTCAAAAAGATTTCACTTTAATACAGTCATCTTTTGTTCTGTGCCCCCTTTTCTCCACTCTTTGTACCACCATTTTCTCAGAAATGTTTTGTACTCCCATGGCTTTCCTCTTTGATGCATGCAGCGCCTCCAGCACTGCAGCAAAGCATTCCCACAGCATTCCGTACCTTCACTGTTGGTAACAGAAAGCTGGCTTGCTCTGTTCTTTATTGGGCTCAATTTTTCACCAATAAACAAACTGTAGAACAGCAGGAGTTAAATTGGGCTGGGCCTCGACCGCCACATGCAGACTTTGTTAGCGCAGTGCTCTCCACATCTTCAACTGCATTTATTTTTACACTCTTCTCAAGACATAAAAGCATTAAAAAAAAAAAAAAAAACTTTCTGTTGTTACTTGTAAAAACAACACTGACCAACTCTGCCATCAAGTATATTTATAGATTGTGCCATCAGGACTTTTAGCCTGAAGTAGGAAGCTGGAGCCGCACTAAACAGAGCAGTGAATGGCAAGACTCAAATTTTATTTAATAGATTTTACAGTTTAAAACACACCTACACCCATAAACACCACCATCAAATCTAATGATCATACAGCTAGAAAGTAAGGCACATAAACAACCGGTTCTTAGACATATGGATGGAAATGAGGAGAGGGAGCTAAATTAATTCAACTAATTTTATGTGTTAAGATCTGCTCTAGCTGCTTAATTCTCAAGCAGATACAGGTTGTGATTACAGAGGAAGATCTGCTTCTATAGAGGTTTATTCTACATGAGTTAAAATGAGCAATTCTGTCCGTGACGAGCAGGTTGCATTAAAAAAAAAAAAAATACCTCTGCTGAAATCTGGTGGTCGCAGTAAAATTGCAACCTGCTGCTTGCTAACAGGAGCTATAATTCATCTTCCCTAACAATTGATATACAGAACAGCTGCAAAAATGTTTCTGCAAGTTAAATAATGAATTGTGTAAATTTTATTGTTCTCAAAATAAGCCGAAACAAAATAACACTGCAAGTAGGAGTGAGGAGATGAAGTGGATAAAATATTGGCAAGAAAATTTAGCAAATAGCGCAGTTTTGTGAATTCAACCCTATAATGTAAAAATGTTTATCCACTGCTTTGCTGAATAACCTAAATGAATACTTTTTCATATGTTTTATGGCAAAATAAACCAGCTATCAAACTCAAATAGACAAAAAAAAAAAATCCAAAGCAAACTAAATCTTTTAGACTGCTAATCTCATCCCATAAACAACTGAAAATGAATCTGTAGCTCTTTCTCGTCTGCCATTCAACCGTCTTCATGTAGAATGAAGAGCAGATCTCTGTTTATACACAACTTGTTGGCCACCAAACGCATAAGAAGCTCCGGACAATCCTGCTCAGACTGCATCTGAAGGGGTAAAATGTCCAAAGTGATCTAGAATTTGCAATATCTAGGAAACAAAAACTATCGCAAAGATATTTAACTGACACGGAAAGGAATTTGGACGAGCGACGTGAAATACTCGGAGGCGACCAAACACAAGTCTGTTCTCATCTAATGCTGCTTTGACAGCCTTGTGATTCTCATGTTGATGCTGCGTTCTTGTTCTCCTCTTTCTACCATTTCCATTCTTCCAGCTGATCCACATACAAGCAGCACTTGGAGAGTTTATTGTCCGCAGCTTTTATCACACCCGATTCAGAGTGACTGGTTTTTTTAGACCACAGTCATGCGTCACATTGTTCTATTTACAGTTTCTCAAACCGTTTTGGTCAGATTATTCCGTGTGCACAATGATGCATCCGTTCCCTCCCCAAAGCCCCACTCCCACACAACAACTCCCGAGTAGCCACTAATGAACAGCACAGGTCTGTACTTTACGGTTCTCTGTCCAGGGAAAACCACGGGGCTTATCTCTGAGAGTTTTCCGATGCTGTTTGATCGACCCTGTTCTCCTGAAATCAGGGTTTCGGGGTCTTTCAGCAGTCGCTGTATCCTCTGGAGGAAAGCTCCGGTTTAGATTACAGACTTTCACTTGTTTTCACCATGGTGACAGAAAAAATGAAATAAAATTGAAACACAGATTTACTAGTTGATGACATTTTGATGAAGACTGACAACAAACGTGATATTTTTAATCATTTCATATTTCACTGACTGTAGGCAACTCTGTGCTCTGGTTTAGTAGACTGCACCAATATAAACTACTGTAAAGTTGTTTTCCTTATTAAGTTCCTAGTCCTCATAGTGTCCAGTCTGTAACTACACAGTTATATCAATAAATAAATACAATATGCATTCAAGAAGAATTTAAACTTTTTCTTCTTCTCATGCTGAATCTGAAAAAATGTGTTAATGACGTTTGGAAAGCATGTTCTAAACTGACGTTTAAAGCTGTTGTCAAGTCCAAACAATGTTAACATCTTATTATTTATAATGGTACAGAACCACGGGGTGGTGCTTTGCATAAGTATGAATTTTTTATCACGTTGGTGCCCCGATGTTTCAGAAACGTGGGTTTCAGCTCCATGTTGCTGCAGCCTGGAGGAGCAGAGTTCTACAGATGAAACTCTGTTCTGATCCAATCACTGTATTATTTATTTATTTTATTTATTTATTTTTCCTCCAGCCTGTAAGCTCAACAGGGACAGACGATTAGAAGAAATGCATCCTGGGAGTTGTTTTCAGTTACTCTAGAATAACATCTGTCCAGGCTCTTGGGGAACTTGAGAATTTCCAGTGATGCCTGTCGCTAACGGCGCAGCCTTTTATCCTGGAAGACTGAGAGCGCCACAGGCGTTTTCCTCCTATCTCCGTTCAACGATTCAGTGAATAAGCCATGCAGCCATGACGGACTGCCGGTGAGCTTCCTGTCACACTCTCAGGTCATATACATTTCGTCTGCTGCTAGCCAGCCCTGCAGGGTCAGTGTAAGACACAGATCTAATCAGACTGCTACTCCCCCACTAAAAGAAGAATCCACCATTTGGGCTTTTTTTTTTTTTTTATCAGCTCCTAATCTCAGAGCTTTCCTTCTGTCCAGAGATTTTTTATATGCCAGTTTTCATTGTTGTCTCTGCAGAGGAAGCTGGAAGATGTCCTTGACGACAGACAGAAAGAAGTGAAGAAAACAAAAGCTTGTTTTGGATGCCATCTTTCTCTGCTTCTCCTGATTTAAGCTGAAAGATATATGTGTTTTTTTTTTTTTTGCTGCAAAAATCATTTCTTGCATAAACACTATTTTTGGTCAAATTCTTTCCTTTGTGCCTTCACAAATATCACATTAGAGCCAACTTCTCCCACCGTCAAACTGGAGGAAAAGCGGCGCGATCAAACGGGAGACAGAGTTTAATTTTAGAAAGGAACATACATGAAATGTAAGATCGCTGTGAGCCCCGGGGCTCAGTTTAATGATCTTGACAGATATTGCTGTTTGTGCTCTAGTCATAAATCCAAAGGAAAGGTGGAGAAAAGGGTGAGAATTACATTTTTCACATCTCTGTTTTCTAAGCTCTAGCAGAACCTGAAAGAAGAAGAAAAAAAAAAAACACTTTTCCAGGACTAAATATCACAACTTCACAGACCATATAGAACTAGAGTTTCACTCATTTTAGAAGCGCTAAGCAATAACTAGAAGTTGTTATACA